TTTTTTTTTCCCTACAAATTATCACACTTTTCTTTCTTCTTTACTTTTGAAATAGTTTAAAGTTGACACTAACATAAGTTAAAGAACACCTGTGACCTTGCCTGCATTTTACTGCTCATTGCCAGCTACAACCTAACAAAAGAAAAAAAAAATTTAACTTTCTAAATTCCATATTTGCTACACCAGACTTACATTAAACATACCCAACATAAAACTGAAAGACAAAATAATATAATATGAAGACACAAAAAATGTATATAGGAAAAACAAAATCTTAAGGGCTATTTAATATCTTTAGATAGAGAAAGATTATTTATATAAATTAATAAAAGTTGTTAAAATTCTAAATTAAAACCCACTAAACTGAAAATGGATACTGATAACCCATAAAATCATATTTTAAAACAACAAGATTTCCTCTCCCCATAAGAAAAAGAAAAAAGAAAAAAAAAAACATATCCAGCAAATTTTCAAATGTGCTGCATTTTCTGCTTTCACTAAACTCTAGGATGTCTCAGGTTAGGAACCTTGTTTATTTTATGCCTTCTTTTAGTGACACATGGTAGATACTCACTCTATTCATACTGGTTGAATATATGAATATATGTTCATAAGGAAACTTCCAATCCCTCCGTGAACTAAATTTGAGTTTAGTTGAGGAGAAAAAGTTCAAACTCTTCCTATCAGACCAAGGTGTGTGTCCACACACACGCTTCCCTCAATGTGAGCCCTTTAGCTTCACACATGCCTGTGTCCCCAGACACACAGACAAGTGCATGTTCAACTGTGACTATAACTGTTTTTCAGTTGGTGAAGAAATATGGGAATGTTCTTAGCCTGGATTTTGGTAACCTGTCTTCAGTGCTCATAACTGGACTGCCCTTAATCAAAGAAGTTCTTTCCCAGACAGACCAGTCCTTCGTGCACCGCCCTGTAACGCCTCTCCGAGAACGTATCTTTAGGAAAAATGGTAAGTTTATTGATGACTGTAAGGTGTGCATTTGAAATGCTATGGTCTCTTCACCATGCCTCTATRCCTATAATTTTCTGACACTCCCAGAARTTAACCTCATTATGAAATGCCTGCCCTTATAAGAAGCCAAATGCCCACATTTCCTGGTTGAAAACATCTCCTTTTAAAGATTTGTCTTGATGGGTCCTGATAGAGATTTTGGAGAAACCACATGTTCTGCACAAACTCTGGATGCTTTGATAATGAAGTAACCATATCATCTATTTATAGCAGAGGAGGAGGCAGTGTGTGAAAAAGCTTCAGACCTAATCTTGAAAGAACTCTGCCATTTCAAGATTTGATAGAAGATGGGTGCCGGGGATCCCAACAGCCAGCAGCAGGACCCTGGAGATCCAGGC